CTGGTCTTTTTTATGGCTGGCTATCATGGCCCCAGAGGTGCTGATGTGCCAGGGGCAGCACAAACACAGCCTGAGAGGTCCCCTGGCTGCAGCAGGCCGAGGCTGGACACTTCTCCTGGTTTACTAGAGCAGGTTCCCATCACTCTCATTCCTCGAGCTTGTGGAGCAAGGGCTGATTTCGACGGGCTGAGTGCTCATGCTGCTTTCCACAGCAGAGAAAAGCTCACGGCTGAGTTAAAGGCGTCTTGGGATGGAGCCCAAGTAAAGAGCTCTGACCCCCTCCCCAGGGGACTGTCAATCCATAGCCCAACTTTAATCATGAACTAAATTGCTCGAAACTGAACTCTGTGCTGGTTGCTGCTGTGACTCATCTCAGGCTTGCTGCTGGCTGTCTAAATGTTTTCACTGAAGCCATATGGAGTGGCAGTCTCTGGCTATTACACTCCTCATTAACACTACTCCCTGCCCTGGGCCGTGTGTGATTAGATCATCTCCAAGTTAAAAGTGAAGCTTTCTCCCCTTCCTTGTTTTCTGGGTCGAAATGGTGCCTGTCAGAAGTCCCTTTGCTCGGACAGAGGGGGCTGAGGTCTGTACCTCATGGTGCTGGTATGTGTGCTGCAGTGGGAACAAAGGACCCCTGGGCCTTCACACAGGCATCATCCCTCTCCTTCCCCCAAGGGAGACTTGGGACTGTGAGTTTAATCACAGCTTTAATAACGTTTCCATCCCTGCCTTAGGCCCTCACGGGTGGCAGGCACTTAGGGAGAGTGTAAGAAACCAGTTCTCAGCTTTGGCAAAACTATCTCTAGTGAGATCTTTTGCCCAGCTGCCTGCTGGTGGGATGTGCCAGGTTTTAATCCCTCGTGTTTGCCCTGTGTGATGGCTGTATGGTGTCGCACAGGTTCATGGGTGCATGGTGCCCTTTGGACTCACCACCAGCTCAGCTCAGGCCCATGCTTGTAGCTGCTGGGGTTCAGGAACTCGGCATCACTCCACATCTGCCTGGGGAAAGCATCTCCTGAGCTGGCAGGGAAGATCCTGCAGCTACATCCCTTTTGTCAGTTCTCACGAATGGATCTCATTATATGGAATCACAGAGGAATTTGTATTAGGAGGGACTTCTGGAGATATTGAGTTCAACTCCTTGGTCAAAGCAGGCCTAGTAGGTCAGGTTGCTCACAGTCTTGTCCAGGAGGTATCCAGGACCAAAGATGGAGATCCCACAACCTCTCTGATCCCTGTTCCAGGGTCTGAACAAACCTTCAATGTGATTCTCTCAACCTCTCCTCATCTGTCCTGTGCTCCAGCTCCTGCCTTCACTCAGGTCTGGATATGATGACCTGTGGACCTGGACAGATGCTAGCAGATGGAAGGAATCTCCATCAGCAATTTCATCTTCCCAGCCTATTAGCTCCTTATTAGTATCCTGATTCACTGGTTTCTCTTGAGGTTTAGTGTATGGTTTTGGTGCAGAAGCATAGTTCTGTGTCCCCTTATCCAAATGCTCCCCCACAGAGTTTGTGAGCTTCATTTTTCAGGAGCATTCTCCTGGGACCATCCTACCTTTGCTTCTGGCCCGAATGAAGCAGCTCCAGGCACATAACTGTCCACTTAGAGCTTCTTGTCCAGGGCTTACTGCTTTGGTGAGCAGTTCCCTGGCGTGTCTGAGGACACATCTTGCCTGAGGGACACAGAATGCCATGACCCTGCCCACACTACCTGAAGGCACAGCCAAGGCCTGAGGCTGATGAGGCTCTAGGATGAGATAGGAGAAGCAGCGATGCCAATACCTGGTTCAAACGCTTGCATTCACCCACGGGGAAACAGCAGGCTGAGAATCTCAGCCAAATCTTCTGCCACAGGGGAGCAGAGATGATCTGGGTTCTTCACCCGCCCACCCAGGCCAGGAGTGACAGTCCCCTTCCCCGAGACCCATCCCTAGGAGGGATTAGATTTGTCCTTGGCTAATGAATCCTGTGGCGAGCTCATGCCTTTGTTCCTCAGCACATCTGTAAAATCATCATCTTGGCATTTGAGTCCGGTCGCAGAAGTGGCACTGAGAGCCACAGAGCTTTTCCTGACACCTCTGGAGCTGCACTGAGGTGCAGCTAAAGCCTGGGGAGCAGCTGCCTCCAAGCAGACTCGGGCTGTACCATCCACACCTTGGCCTGTGTGGTTACCCCTGTGCACCCGCAGGGAGGTCCTGCCTGGCCCTGGCACATGGACCCAGCTGCTCACGGACCCTGCTGGGTGTGGGTGCAGTGAAATAGCCCGAGCAGGAGGAGACCTGGGCTGGCAGAGCAGCAGGACAAGGGACCTCAGCATCCTGGTCCCCTAGCAACCGCACTCTGGTCCCCTAGCAACCGCATCCTGGTCTGTAGCAACCACAGTCCGGTCCCCTAGCAACACCTTCAGGCCCCTAGAAACGAGGCTGAGGGAGGTTTCTGTGCAAACTTACAGCAGAGCCATTGAGCAAGAGCTGATTGAAGGCAGTGCAGCCAACTCCACGTGTCCAGCTCATATATTTGTCAGTCTGTCCTCAGCAGGTGCTGGCTCCTGAGAGCATCCTGATGGCTTACAATGGGGATTGGTGGAGGGTTCAGCAGTCTGGTAGCAGCTGAGCGTGGCCTTTGTGCCTTGGGGAAGAGGGAGATAATCTCCAAGTAGTCCTCATAAGTTTCTAAACTAGAAACAACAGAAAACTATTCTCCAAACCAGCCACACTAACTCAAACCACTAGGATTTCCACTGATAAGCCTCTCTGCCAGCAGCCTTGGAAACGTGCCTCACTCTGGGAACGATTTCTCAGGCAGTTTTAGATGGTGGTAGTGGACCAGCGAGTGCAGAGTATTTTGCCTTGTGCCTTAATGCTGGTCTCTTCCTGCCCTGTGATCCTCAGCACTGGCCTGGGTCCCATTTGGCATCCTCAAGCCACACATTCCAGCTCTAACATCTCCAGTTCCCAGACCTCAAATCCCTTCAGGACATGGTTTAGTGGTCATGGGAGCACTGGGTGATGATTGGACTTGATGATCTTAGAGCTCTTTTCCAACCTTAATGATTCTATGAAAATCCTGCTCCCAAAGCTGGTGTTCCCTGGCTGTGCTTTCCCCTCCCCCTGCATGGGGAACATCTCAGGGCTGCAGGAAAGCAAAGTCTCAGAGGGGAGATGTGCCCTGAGAAGATTCAAAGGAAGCAGAATTTGCCCCTTGATGGTTGTGATTTCTGACGTTCTCTCATCGCCTGGCTTTGCTGTATCTGCTAAGCCCCCTCTTCCCAGCCTCTGCTGTGTACATCACAGGAGAGCCAGCTGAGCCTGCGTGTGACAAATGTGCTGCTGCATGGCACTGATAACAAGCTCGGTGACGTGTCTCTGAGAGACAGACCGGGCTGGGAGGTGGGAGTTGGTTGGGGAGCACAACCTCAGCTATCCCCAAAAAACAGGCAGGGAGCGGCTCTGGGGTGTGAGAATGAGCACAGTGTCCTCATGTAAATCCATGTGACAGTCCTGAGCAAACCAGGGGGACATCAGAGGGACACTGGTGGGTAAATCAGTGGAGGTGGGGGGCAGAGCTGGTGGTCAGAGCAATGGATTACAGTTGCTGGGTTCTTGTCCTGTCCATCCCTGGACTTGCCACTGTGCTCTTCTAAAATATAAGTTACAGCCTCTTTTTCCTGCATTTTGCTGTGAAGCTCTTGCCTCTTGCCCTGAGAAAGTGACAGCTCTGTGAGGAGGAAAGGCTGAGAGCCCTGGGGCTGGGCAGCCTGGAAAAGAAAAGCCTCAGAGGGGATCTGATCAATGCTGAGCAAGAGTTAAAGAGCAAGGGGCAAAAAGCTGGGGTCAGACTCTTGTCAGTAATGCCCAGAGACAGGACAAGGAGAAATGGGCACAAACTGGAACCCAGGAGGTTCCACCTGAACAGGAGGAGAAAATTCTTTGCTGTGAGGGTGGCAGAGCCTGGAGCAGGCTGCCCAGAGAGGCTGTGGAGTCTCCTCTGGAGAGATTCTAAACCCACCTGGATGTGATCCTGGACACCCTGCTGTGGGTGACCTGCTGAAGTAGTGGGGTTGGACAAGATGATCTCCAGAGGTCCCTTCCAACCCCACCATGCTGGGATCCTGTGACACCCCTTTTCCCTGCCTCAGTTTCCCCAAATGGGTTATAGAGGTGATGCTCAGCACTCCAGAGCATGAGCAGGCTGAACTGGCCTGCTGGGTACTGAAGAGCCCCTCGGCTTCTTCTCACGGTGAGCTGGGAAGGATGGGGGCTCTTAATCCAGCCTGTGATCAAAGGGGAGCTGCTGTAGGAATGACTCCTCCATGACTCCTCAGCTCTGGTGCCACAACAGCCCCAGCATTTGTTCCTGGCACACACCAGAGGAGGGTGCACATGCAGGCTGATGTGTCTGTGCCGGAGGTGCCTGAGGCTTGCGTGGTTCTGGAAAGAGACATTCCATCTCTCCAGCAATTTTTAGCTCCCTTGGCCTCTCACAGCTCAGCAGAGTCAGAGACCCCTGCCAGTTTGGGGCTTCCTGAGCAGCGCAGAGCCCAGCACAACATTAGTGTGAGCTGGGCATGCTGCAAGCAGGCAAAATGATGCTTGTTTCTAAGGCTCAGAGAGCTTAGCAAGCTCAACCGAGGTGGTCTGCTGGCCTCCAAGGTCGTCCTTCATGCAGACACTTCATGCATATTGCATGTGTGTGCTCAGCAGGCAGAGCTGGATTTGGTGCGATGAGCAGACCTGCTCACACAAAGCACAAAAAAAGGCCAACCAGCCCTCAGCAGCTAATTGCCCTCGTGGATCTTGGTGGCTTTCCACCTGCCCCTTGGGCTGTCTTCTCTTGCAGCACCCAGCAGAGTAGCAAGAAGCTTGGAAATGAGTTTAAAGATGTGCACGTAGCTTAGTGGCTATGCTGGTCTGGTTGTGCTGTGGTACCTGTGGTCTTCAGCACCCATTTAGTGTCTCATGCTGGCTTATGGGACTCCTGTTTCGTTTGCAGAGGATGAGATTATTTCCATGGCTGACTCGACCACCACCATCGATGACATCGAAGGGGAGCTCTTCAAAATCGAGAGGATTAGGGAGATCCTGGTGAGGAGGGAGTCAGAGCTGCGGTACATGTGAGTACCTGCCCTTCTCCTTTCCAGGGCCACCCCAGTGTCTTCTGCTTGCCCGACCATAGAATCATAGAATGGGTTGGGTTGGAAGGGACCTTTAAAGGTCATGCAGTCCAACCCTCAAACACAGATCATCTCCAGGGGTGGGCAGAGCTGTGGCTGCTTTCCAGCTCTTTTTCCACCTGGAATTACAGCTTCTCCCACTGCTCTGGCTGGAATGACAAAGCCACCACTGATGCTGGGATGGTTTGAACCTCTTTCTGTGCAGAGTTTATGACACAGGATTAACGACACAAACTGTTTACGTGTTCAACCACAGGCATCCCATCTCCCCAGTGGGTCCATAGTCTTCCACAGTGCATGGCTCTTGGGCTGGCCTTGGGAAGGGATCTGAGGTTTGTTGGCTCATTGCTGCTGCCCTCTGAGATGTGGCTTTGCCCCAGCACACAGACCTGGGGCTGTTGAACATGACCACAGAGAAGAAAAGGCTCCAGGGAAACCTTCTTGCATCCTTTCAGGACTTACAGGGGACCTAGAGGAAATATGGGGACAGAATTTTAAGCGGGGCCTGTTGGGACAAGACAAAGGGGTATGGTTTGAAACTAAAAGAGGGAGATTTAGACCAGAGAGAAGGAAGAAACTGTTGATGCTGGTGGTGGTGAGCCCCTGGCCCAGGTTGCCCAGAGAGGTGGTCACTGCCCCATCCCTGGAACCACTCCAGGGGAGGTTGGCCGGGGCTCTGAGCAACCTGCTCTGGTTGCAGATGTCCCTGCTCAGTTCTTGAAAGGTCCCGTTCAGCTCAAACCAGTCTGTGATTCTATGAGTTTACTCTCTCCATGCTGAAGTATTACACATCCACCCAGCTTCTCCTCTCCTCCTCCATCCCCTGACTGCTGGGACCATCAGGACACATCTGGGCTGGGCCAGTGCCTGATGCCTGTCTCCACACCACATCCTGCTCTCCACTCCCAGCACCTCCTTTGAAGCCACATGAGAAGCGGAGGATTTTCTCCAGGGTCCATTTCAATATTCAAAGCAGTTTTTGAGTCAAAATCTGTAGGCCAGTCACATTTAAGGCAATCAAATGGCGGTCTCATGGTTACAGGGGCTGGGACCAGTTTATCATTATGTGGGTATAACCAAAATCTGTGTATTCTATACCCTCTATGTCATTGCTCATGGGCTGTTAACAAAATCACTGGTAGCATCTGCCCAGGACAGACCTCACACCCCAGGCTATAACAATTAAGGAAAGAGGTCCAGGGAGATGTTAATACCTTCCCACCCAGCAGGAGGAGTCCTCCCTGTTAGTGGGCCCATCCATGCCTCACCCCATGACTCATACAGGGCTCCCCCTAGGAGCTATTTCTGTTTAATGGACCATCAAGGACCCACTGCATGACTCATAGACTGATATCAACCCATGGTGAGATGCTCCACCAAGGGGGAGGAGCCAAGTGCTCCCACCTGGATATAAACTGGGGTTCAGGACAGCACAGGAGGCCTTATCCACTGGATTTCCAGAGGACAAGAGCTACCAGATCTTTTCTATGAGATCACTGCTTCATCTGGACTGCTACCACCACCCTAACTACAGAGTGTCAGGTTGTATTCTGACTCTGTCTGTGGTTTTCCTTTGTACTTTTGTATTTTTTTTTTTCCTATTAAATTGTATTTCTGACTTGGAGTCTGTCACTGGTTCACTTTTCAAACCATTACAGGTGGCCATGTTGCAGTGGTACTAACCAGCACTTAGGGGGATAAAGAACATTTGCCCTGGTTGTATGAGGAGGTTCTTAAGGTTTGGGAGGGAAAGGACTGACCAGCACTCATAGCCTGGGCTGATTAAGGCTTTTTAATACCACCAAATTGCTACAGTCAGCACTGTCCTGAGACCCCGTGCTGTCAGGTCAACACAAATTTTTTTTGCTGGCAATGGCAAAGATCCTATTTCCTGGGCTGTAGCCCTCACTGGGCTGCTTTTCCAGCGTGTCCAGGACCCCACGGGTACCTGTGCTACAGGGATGACCCAAGCCTGGCAACACCTGTGTAAATCCCCTGCCTGGGGAAGAGGTGACCTGCACTGCACCTTGGAGGCTCAGATTTGGAGTGATGACCTCTCTGAGGAACAGTTTCACCTGAATATGTTGTTGAAAAGGATCTTTGGAAATCATAAAAAGTGTAGGTCTTAAATGCTTTTTATGGGCACCACCGCCTAAATCTCATGGGTGTTGTTAAAACATCTCTTGCTTTTCTATAACCCTTTGTTTTCTTCCTTGGCTTGCACCTGGAAAACAAAAGGAAATCACATACAGAAACCACATACCAGGGTGGGCATGGCTGCAAATGTGACCCCTTGGAAGTTTGGAGATGCCAGGGTCATATGCTTGAGTGGTTCGAGGTGCTGTGGGGAGCCTGAGCTCCAAGAGGGGAGAGCTGCTTCCCTGGAGGGATCCCAGACCTGTGTTCTGCAGGACAGGGTTGAAAAGGATGGGGACCTGCAGCTGCAAGGGCTTTATTTTTTTACCAATGGGGAAAAAAAAATGTGATATTCAGGATGGCTGGACTGTGGGGCTCGGGGAGGTGGACATCTCCATTGGAGTGGTGCCAAGTGGAGGAGTGACCTGCCTGGCCAGTTGATAACCATCAGTGTTTTCTTGTTGGAAATGCCAAACTAAACCATTGCAGGGTTTCTGAGATGTCTGTGGCCTGGAAAACAATGAAGCTCCCAGTATTTCTCCTTTTATAGGGCAAAAAGAAAAGTCTGGAGTTCCTGTGGGAGGTCCTGCTCCACACCTCACCCACTCACTGCTCTGACCTGCTCCCCGCAGCCAGACGTGGGTAGCGTGGTTCTGCCTGATGCTGCAATAACTTTTATCTCCAGTGGTAGAAACAATCTCAGCTCCAGCAGCAGCCTTCTGGGTGCTTGTCTTTGCAATCTCTCCCAAATTTTATTGAAATTAGTTTCTTCTTATTATTGCTGTTTATTATACTCCTTATCATTTTTTACAGAATTAAATTCCAATTTGATTTTAATAATATTTCCATTATCATTTGATTGCTTGCTTAAATTTTAGTAAGAGCATCACTCGCAGTCAGCTTGTGCCCGTGCAGACCTCCCTACTGGAGCTGTTGGAACCAGCTCAGGGCTCATAGGACTATGAGCTGGACAAATGGACCTCCCCATTCTGTTCTCCATGTGCAGCTCCCAGACACGGGCATTGGTGGACCTGCCCAGGGTGGTGTCCAAACAACTGAAGACACTGTTGGATGAAGCAAAACTGACAGAGCCAAGGGGAAGTCTTCTCCTCTGCCCGAGATGATCTCTTCCTACAAAAACTTCTCACAGGGTGCTTCTTCCTCAGTCTCTTTACCCTTCCTTTATTAATGTATCTGGTGTCCTCAGCTGACAAAGCTGCATCTTCAAGCAGCTCCAACAAATATGACTCATCCCAGAAGGGGTGGACGGCGTGACTCAGTGGAAGGACCAGCAGGATTATGGAGATGCAGACAGAGCTTTTAGTAACGCCTACTTCAAAAGGAACCAAAGGCACATCTGTTCAGAGGGGCACCAGCTAATAAATCAGGCAGGTATTAGCTGCAGGCAGAGATCGTGTTTTAGGGCTTCTCATCACTCATGGCCATGGAAACTTGCTGGAAATCTCAGCTCTGCTCTTTCAGGCTGGACTATTTCCCATGTGCCCTGCAAAGCATCCAAGGAGTCCTTCTGCATCAAAGGCTTGGACAGCCACAGAAAGATCATGTTAAGATGCTGTGGTGCTTGGTAGGGCTTAGGGTGATGTACGGTGCCTCTGTCTAGAGGAAAAATGGGCTGGTTGATTCCCCAGAGTCAACATTTGGATATGCTGCCACTTTTGATGGCTCTATCCAGACAGGTTGACCACTGTGCCCTTTAGTGTTGGTGCTTACCAGGTTCTTCACGGATCTGCTCAGACAACATGGTGTTTACTGGAGGCAAATTCTTCCCATACCACCCCACGTAGGCAAGGCGTCATGCACAGGGCAGTGCAGGGCTACATCCTCTATGGACTCATCTGGTCTCCAGCTGAGAGGTTTGTGACACCAGGTCTTTTCCCAGCACAGACTGCTCATGGTTCAGAGCCCATGTCTGTTGTCAGAAACATCCAGGGCTCCAGTCACAAGTCTCTAAGTTCTAGGGAGCCCTCAGATACAGTCATTCCTGAGATGCCAGTGGATTAGTTACACTGTCCTAACAAATTGGTACTGGTCAGAACGTTCACATCTACCTCAGGATGATGATGGAAACGCCATATTTTGCTGGTGGAGCTACTCAGCACCATTTTGAATGTGCTGCCTGATCTCAGCCACTCTGATGCTTCTGATGCTGTTGCTGGCTTCAAGGTCCTGGGAGAGATGTCTCAAGAGCATGAGGACTTATGTATCAAAGGGGTTGCTTCGTGAATGCACCAATTGAGCAATTTCTGGTCCTGGGGGTGTGGGAGCCTGTTACACCTGGTAAATCTGGGGCTGGATTTTGGATGGAAACACTTTCTTCTAGCTTCAGGCTAGGTAACAGAGGTGAGAAGGTGCCACCTGGCTCACTGGACTGTGCCGAGGCTGGGGAAGCCACATCAGAGCTGCTGGTTTTTCCTAATCTTCCCAGTGAGGGATAAAGTGTAAGGAGCCCAGGGGGGGCTCAAAGCAGAAGGAAAAGTGTCAAATGGGTTGGTCTCATCATGCTTTGGTTGGAGATGTGGCTGGGCAAGGTTGGCCCTAGGCTGATGCAACCTTGGAGACTGCTGGGAGGGCAGGTGAGGCTGGGCAGCCCTTGGGTTGCTGCTCACTGTGTGTATGAGTTACTGGCAGAAAACAGGAGGACTGTGAGGAAAGGACCCTAAAGTGCAAAGCAAGGAGGTTTCCAAGAGAGAGAGAGAGGTTGGGAGATGGGGAGAAAGGCCGACAGACCAGAGGCAGCACTGGGGTTGTAGGAGTTGTGATGTCTTCTTTGGTGTCACCTACCCAAGGGAGATATGCCCAAGGATGGCTTGGTTTGTGGTGGGGAGAGGTCTCAGCAATGAGCACTGCCTGCTTTTGGGGTTTCCCTCCCCATGGGTGAGTGCATAAAGCTCTTCAGACTGAAGCACTGATACGGACCATGGCCAGACAACATCTTTCCTCTTTAGCAAGGGCATAGGCATGCGAGTTTTAAAAAATCAATCAATAAATGAATTGGGTCAGATCTTCTCTGCCAGCCGTATTGAGCAGTGAGTTGCACTTGAGCTGGTACACCCACGGAGGTGGCTGGGTGTCTGTGGTGCTTCTGAGACATCATCAAACTGCCTCCAGCACAGAGAAGGCCGTGTGTCCCCCGTCCCTCCCTCAGCAGCTGCTGCTGACATCTGAGTTGAGCCTGTCCCGGTTGGTGTCTTGCTGCTGTCCCATGGTCTGAGTCAGAGATGACTCCATTGCCTGCAGCTTTGGCACCTCCTGTTCTCCTGGTGAAATTACCTTCTTTCTCAGCAGACACCTGCAGAGGTTGCACCTTCGCCCCTCTGTTGTGTTTTGTTTCAGTTTCATTTTGCAGAAAGGCACGATAAACCTGTCAGATTTTTTTTTTTTTTTTTTTCTGTGACAGCAGCTTCCATTTGGTTTTGGATTTTGCTGTTTGGGGATTATTTTGGGGGAGAAGGAGAATTGCAGCTGCTGTTGCATGGTAGGTGTGCCAGGTTTTAATAAGGCTTCATTGTCATTAGAGTGATGGAACTTTTTCCTTGCCAACAACCAGTGACACAGCCAATGTAGCTCCAACAAAACCTCTGAGATGAAGCGGGCTGCTGTTTCCCATGGGAAGGCAAGTAAATCTGTGCTCCCTGCCATGGGCACTGAGTCCATTACCTTCCCGTGTTGGTTGGGTGCTGCTCTGGAGGCTCTGAACCTTTCCCAGTCTTTCCCTCAGTGGTTTCATTTGTGTCTCTGCAGGATGGATGACATTCAGCTTTGTAAAGAAATCAGCCGGCTGAAAAAGGAGCTTCAAAAGCTCATCGCGCTTCCAGGTAAGGCTTTGTAAAGCTTCAGAGGGTTCCACCCTGCTGATAGCAATCAGCAGAAAGGTTTCCATGAAATACCAGAAGCTCCTGAACAGTTCCCATCCTGGGATGCTCGCAGAGACCCTGCTGCTGCAGGCAGTGCGTGAGAATCAAGAAACATGAGCCTGGAGTCTGACCAGATCTTTCTTAGGAGCTTTGCTTTTTGCAGTACTGCCAGGGAAGTCCTTGCCCAGGCCAGGCTAAAGGGCAGAGGAAACAGAAAACGAGAAAAAACGTGAGTCCTTTGAGGAAGAGCGCTGGTTGTTTTGGTTTCATTCTGCAGAAAGAAAGGATAAACATGTTAGATTTTTTTTATGTGGCAGCAGCTTCCATTTGGTTTTGGATTTTGCTGTTTGGGGATTATTTTGGGGGAGAAGGAGAAACACAGGAGTCTGGGATAGGAGAAGGACAGGAGTTGAGTGACGTGGCAATGAATGCCAACAGAGTGGGACCTGCCCCATACACTGAGGAGGATCCCTGAGTGAGTTGATAGGACAAGCAGGGGACCACACCATGGAGGTCCTTTGGAGGTAGCAGGAGGGGAGATGCCTTCAAAGGCCTCAAGTATGTGAAAAGCAAAGAATTCTTTACATCCGTGGCTGTAGCCATGTCAGAGCTGTGTCAGTTTTGGGGCAGATGGCAGCAGCTGCCAGGGCAGGATTCCTGGTTGCAGACAGTGCAGGATGGGTGCCAGGGGGATGTCATGCCAAAGAGGTTTGGCAATGTCCCATTTTAGGTGAATTCATCATTCATGATGTTGAAAAGAGGCAAACACTCCAGGGCAACATACGTGAAAACACAAGCAGCTGGGAGGAAATGCTGCTTGGGTCACCCCTTTTACCATGACCAGTGACCTTGTCACAGTCAGAGCCACCCTTGTTCCTTCACCACCCTATTTTTATAAAGGATCCCTCTCAGCCAAACGCATTCAAATGAAAGCACACACCAGTGAGCTCAGGCTTGGAATGAGAACGAGCCAGAAAGACTTCCCCACAAGCTGTGTCCATCACTGTTTGAAGCTGTGCCTCCTCCCAGGACATCCTCATCCACCCCCTGAAAGGACTTTATGGGCATTTTCAGAACCAGATGGGAGACATATCCCTGCTTATTTGTACCCATCCAAGCATTAAGATTTGGACCTCAGTTGTTTGTACCACAAATACATCTCTGAGGATGCTGCACTCGCTGAGGCTGATGATTGTGTAGCAGCGGGCAATGCCTGCAGGCAGACAAGGGCCCAGCTGTGCACATCTGTTTCCCAGAGCAGCAGCTCAGGTCCTTGGTCCTGTACCCCAGGTTAGCTCAAAGCCAAGTGTGGTAAGAAACCTTGACCCATGGTATTGCTATGCTGCATGTGCTCTCCAATCTCCAGCACACAGTTAGAGCCCAGCTGCTACTTAGCATGCAGGTCTTGATCAGTTGAAGACAACCTGTCTGCATCCAGAGGGAGCTTCAGACAGGGGAGGGGAGGATTCTGCCGTCAAAATGGGAGCTGCTTGCACACTAGAGAGCTGAATCTTGTGTGGACTTTGAATTCAAACACCTTCTAGTTCATAAAACAAGACCTGACCTAAATGATGTCTCTGGACTGGAGATAAGCTCAGCCGTTTCTGAAGCTGGAGAAATGTGGCAGGGATTCCTTCATCTGCTTTGGTCTTTCCTTTGGAGCATTCTCAGGTTCAGCAGAGAGCAGAAATTCTGCTTGCATCAGGGATGCTCCTTTTGTCTTCTTTATAACTTGACTCAAATCAGACTGTGCTGGAAAAATCCTCCAGATCATTTGTCTTGTGAAACTATCGCAGCAGATCATTCCTAAAACTGGGTGTTGAACTTTGGCTCAGACAAAGATTCAAACATGTCAGTGCTCTCTCAGAGCTCAGCCAGACCTGGGGCTTGATACCTCACCAGAGCAAGGTGCCTTTAATAATTCAGAGAGGTACGGTGGTGGGGAGGGGCTCTGCCATCAGCAGGTCAGGAGAAGCTGTGCAGTGTTTATGGGTGGGTGGGTTAATTCTGACGTGCTCCAACTCGGGCATGCAGATTGCTAATGAACTCCAAAGAGCTGGTGGTTGTGAGCAGCCTGACGTTTCCAATCTGCGTGGCATCCAGATGCTGCTGCAAAGTGCTCCTATTCCCACCAGGCAGGTGGGAGCTGCTGCACAGACAGTGCCCACAGCCAGGTGACTCTTCATGGTCGAAGACCAGCATCTGTGGCCCAGACCTCCATCCAGATCAGCTTTCTCCACCACAATTGTAGGAGAAACCTTTGTTTGCTGGGGATATTTTTAACAACATGATGATGATGATAAGTTCCTCCTACTCAGACCCCTGCAGCAGCACCTCCAATCAATACGTAGCAGACTTTAAACTACAAATCAATACCTAGTTTAGGTAACTGCTGACACCCAACCTATAGGGTTTGCTCCATGCTGTGAACTTTGTTGCATTTTTATTCAACTGAAGGAAGACTGGGGATTGATCCGTCTTGTGCTGGATTGATTTTGGAGCTGGCTGCTGAATTCAGAAATGGTCTTGAGTAGCTGCAGCACACGCAGTCAGAGTTTCCACCTAAAGTAGCTCCCTGATTATATTTAACACCACTTAGCCCTGTCTCTATCATCTTCACGTATCCCACTTACCACTATGTACCAGTTTATGTAGGACATGACTTCATAGTGACATGAGTTTTCCAGGTCTTCATTGACTCCCTGCCCAAAGATATGTGGCACAAATGGGTCCTGCTGTGCTCAAGGTAGGTCAGACTGGGGGCTCAAGTGACAACCAAGGCTAACACATTCAAAATAGCCTGGCAGACACTTGTGGTCCTCCTTGCTGCTGGGCTGGGAATGGGGCTAGCAGTGGTCTGAAAGGTCAGATGTAGAGGATGAGCTCACTGGGACCACGTTCAGCAAGGGAGTAAGGCTGCAAACCCAGGGGATCATACTGGTTTTCCTGTCTCTGTGTATGGAATAAATGGTGGGGCGAGGTGTTCCCAAGGCATCTGGGGATTGTTGATAATTCCCTAGACACCTGAACCCCTGGCTGGTTTCTCAGCCATGTGGAGGACCTGGCTGAGAGGCCCCTGGATCCCTACCCAGCTCAGGGCCAAGCTGAGGTTCACTGGGTGTGCTGGCATGGGAAATGTGGGTTTTCCTGGCTGAAAGATGACATCTGAGTCTGACACTCCCAACTCAGTGAGACCCAGGATCCAGCCTCTTCAGCAGTGCAGGATGAAGGCCCCAGGGGAGCTATGGTCATCTCCCACCAGAGAGGTCACCTTGTTGAGGGGCCTTTTCTCTGCCATGCAAAGCTCACAGTTGCATCTTGCAGGGCTCAGCCCCATGAAAATTTTGGGGAGAAGCTAAAAATTCAGAGTTTGATGACACCAGACCTGTCTCCTCCCAGCCAGGGTGGTTTGGGATGAGGTTGTTGCTTATTTAAGAGACTGTATCTGGATCCAGGTGCTTACTTTGGGTTGGCTTTTACCTCCACTCTCATATCTGTTCCTGGATCGAGCAGAAGCAGAACAAGCTTGGCCTTGGCTTGGGTGGGATGGCCTCTGTTGGTGTGTTCAATGTGTTCCCTGTGCTGCAGAGAATGAGAAGTCCAACGAGGAGAAACAGAGGGAAGAGGAACTGGTACAGCAGATACATAAGCTGGTGGAAACACGGGATTTCCTGGTGGATGATGTGGAGTTTGAGAGGCTCAGGTAGCTGGGTGCAATTTACTCCTTGCACTGAGGACAGTGCAGTCTGTCCTCCGAGCTGTATTGTGCCTTGACAGATGCTCCTGGACTCCTTGCTGCTCCTTTCCTGAGTGGTAACAAATCTCTTTGTCACAGGGAAAGGGAAGAAGACAAGGAAATGGCAGAGTTCCTGCAAAGTAAGCTCTCCAAAAGCTACCTTCAGAAAGCAAGTAGGTGGTTGATGAGTTTTCTTTCTTGCATGGAACCTCCCTGGAAGTGTATCCCCTTTCCTAAGCACTCTGTCTCCAGGGTTTCTTTGCTCTGCATGGGGCTAGCTTACCCAGAGGCCATCTGCTGCTAGAGGAGCATTGGGGAAGTGGTGACTAAAGGATGCTGGTGCTTAAGATCATGTTTTGGGGACATCCCAAATCAGTACAGATGTTATGGCTTCCATTTCCCTCCTGGCATTTGCCAGCCACCATGTCCTATGAGAAAGGGGACAGGTAGGTGTCCGTTTTTGGCTGGTGTACTTAACCTGGCCCTTTCCAACCAGCTCCTTACATTTTATCACATTGTTACCTAAGGTCACAAGCTGTGGTGTCCATCCAGTCCTCCTCTCTTCATGGCCTCTGATGATAGACCACTCTCTTCCCTCGTCATTGCTGGAGGAAGACCTCCCTAGAGCGGTGGGAGTCATTTCCATCCCTGTGCCTGTGTCCTGTCTGTGGACACCCACAAAGCCCACATGCTGATGTGCCTCCTAGGTGGAGGAGACCATGCCCAGCTGTGGGTCTGAGGAGGGTCATCATCTTAGCCCTGAAAGGAACCCTAAGAAGAAGGGATGGGCCTGTGCCTTCATCAGCAGGCAGACACCAATTCCGCTTTCCATAGGTCCTGTCAAAGAGAAGAAGATGACTTCCAGAGGACAGCAAACCTCTGCACCATATGTGACCAAAACAGGCCTCACCCTGCTCAAGGAGTGCTGTGGCTTCACCTGTTCCATCATGTAGGCCAGCCCCAGCTCCTCTGCACAGGACATGACCGTGGTAGGGTACACATCCCAGGAAGCTGGGCCAGGCAAGGGGGGCTTCCTTGGTCTGCTGAAACGGCCAAGTGCCTGTGTGGGGTGGGCAAGCATCCATGTCTGGGACACACAGCTCCTCGTGTAAGGGACCATCAGGCTGCAGACCTGCTCTGGAGGGGATGCCATCAGGGGAAAGTGCTGGAGCCCCAATGAGTCCTGAGAGAAGGGCTGGAAGGGAAAAAGCAGTGGTCGTGGGTGGGAGGAGGACAAGGAGATGGAGGGAGCTGGGTGGAGGGGGAAGACAGATGGAGAGCAGGGTGGAGTGGGGCCGGGCACTCTGGAGGTTGCATAGCCCAGGCATCTCCTCATCATCACGTACAGGAGGGAGCTGTTGGTCAAATGTGCCACACCTGATGCTCATGGAGCTACCCCACCAATGCCTTTGTCTTCTCATAGTATCTTCTCTGTAAACCTAAGATGCCATTAGACCTCTCTGTCCCTGAGGGTCTTCACGTGCTGTCTCAAATGCCTTCTCCTGCCTGCTCCTTTTCGGCAGGCTCTGGTTGATCACTGGCATCTGCTGGCAGCCATAGGTGCCCCACTATAAAGTGATGCACACGTTATTTTTAAAACAGTTTGCCAAGGGCCAGGCTGTGGCAGTTGTGCAGGACATCTGCCAAGGGGCAACCAAACAGTTGGTTTGTCCCTCTCCGTTTGCCAGTGGTTCAGGACATGAACTCATTCCAAGCATCATTGCTTGGTAGAAGTCTCAGGGAGTGGTAGCCCCATAGAGAGGTGCAGCCTCTCCCACCCCACTCCAGGAGGAGGCTGAAGCAACCAGGCTCACAGAGGTGTGAGGCTGAACCCCCACTGGACCAGCTCTGCCTGGCTCTGGCTGCCTCCTTGCTCTTATCTATGACACAGCACATGCTGCCAAAGTTGGTGTTTGTGGGGTGCAGGCGTAGACAGCTTGGTGTGGGATGAGGCAAAGGCTGAACTGGTGACAGCTGGTGAGCTGAGCATGTGGTGGGGACATAGCTGAAGCAAGTCACAGCCAAGATGAAGTTACAAGAATGCACTTTAATACACCTAAAGCAAAAGTCTATGCTTCAGCACCACAAATCATCACAGTTCATCACAGGGGAGCTTTCAAGGAGGTGAAACCAGCTGCCCACTGGGCTCCCACCTGCCTCCATGCCTGGGCTTCACCCAGTAGGTGATGAACATGGCCCAAGCTGAGTTCTAGATCTCACCTGATGGCACGTGTGACAAGCACGGGGTAAGAGAAAGATGATGGTAATGGAGAGCCAGTGGGTTGTGGTCTCTGTGGGAGGATACATCTCATCCTTAATATCACTGGACACTGCCATTGTGGATGGTGGCCTGACACCCAAGGGTGAGTTCATTTGCATTAGGCGCTCCATAAAGCAGGGTTAGCTCTGTAGCCATTAGAGAAGGGTGGCACCGCAGGTTCCCATGGCTGCAACTTATGGTTTCCTATCTCTTGCCTTTCTTGCTCAGGTCTCCAGCCAGAGCCCACAATCTGCTCTCCTCCGAGAGTTTCAACTTCCCGTCATTGTTCATGCTTCCCACTGCAGCACCACCACCAAAGAGACTTCCCAAGCAGGCCGGTGCAAGTTTGAATGATGGCATGTGTCCTAGGTGCCACGTCAATGGTCGTCTCCTCCATGACATCAACAAACACCAAATCCACCCAAGCTCAGCTTGGAAGAGATGTATGCAGCAGTGGCCAGCGAGTCCATGGCAAAGAGGACCAGTGCAGTCCTTCACCAGGACAGAGTAACAAAAAAAACACCAGGAGATAATGTTTGGAGAACACTGTGCTTCATCACCCAAGACTTGCTGTGGCCACAGATCATGTCTCATTCTTAGCCTTGGGCCACCTTGTGAGTCATTATGGGATGACTCCTGAGGACTCCTGGTGGGGAATGTCTCTGGTCTGGGTTTTGTTGTGTTTGCGTTGGTTTTATTGCAAGATGTTCCATGGCTCTGGGTAGAGCTGAGCGAAGCATGAGGGACAGTCCCCAGGGCCAGCTGAATGAAGGGCTAGTTCTTGTGAAGTTATCACTTGAGCACAGACCTGGTGTGTTGAACTAGGGGCAGATGAGTTGCTTTGCCCACCTCACTGTTACTGGATTCATTTTTCAGCTCCAAGAAAGAGGAGGAAATTAAAGCAAAAGATAAAAGGAGAAATACTCAGAAGAACAGGGCAACCTGCAGAAGGAAGTGAAAACCGAACAGGAGGCTGGAAAAGTAGCAGAGGAAGGTAGAGACAGCAAGTGAGAGACAGTCTCACTGACAGACACTCAGTCCTGCCCTCCTGTGCCCCAGCCAGCACCACTGGGCTTTGCACCATGAGCTGGACATAAAGTCCTCTGAAGAAGACTCATGGCACCCTGAGTCTCAGTTCCTGTTTTCTGACCCTTCCTGTCCTTGTACCTTCTGAGCACCCACTCATGCTGAGGTGGCACAGCCAGAGCTGCTAATGCCCATCATGGTGGGACAGGGGCTCTGTTTCTCGCTGGATGTGAAGGCCTCTTGCATCTCCTGCCCTTTTGTCCTGTAGGCTGCTATGGTTTCACTAGGTGTCCTGGGGTGGCCTCCTATTTGGTGGCTGCCCAAGAGCTCTGGCTGCCCTCTGGCCGAAATGCAGATTTCTCCAGCTCAGTTTTCTGTTGGGTCTTGAGATGGTGCTCCTGCCTGGGTCACTGCCCATCATGCCTGTACCAGCGAGATGGTCACGACCCCTTTGGCTCTTGCCATTGCACCTAACAGCATATTCACCCTTATAAAAATCAATGCAGGTGGGACCCTTCCCAGTGCAATGGCATAAGCACGTCCAAGTTTCTCTGACATTTCCTCACCAGCACTGCCAAAAAACCCATCGTGCAGGAGCCTGTTCTGTAACTTTTGCAAGGTGGTTTCCACACACTTGTCCTTTCTGAGTAATTTCCTCCCTATATGGATCTTTACCAACAGCCAGAAAAACCCACAAATTAAACCAGTCCCTCTGCACACTCACAGACCAGGGTGTGATGACTGAGGGGGCTGACATGGCACCTGGTCACCTCTAGCAAACTTGACCCTGCTTTTGTTTCACCTCTGGGTTGACTTCAATGGTCTCAGTCTGAAGGCTGCTTATTTTGTGCTGCTTATTATTAACGTCCTGCAGCATCCTACAACCACCACCTGCCAGTTCCTGGTGCTCTCCTTGCTTGGGGAAGGCTTCAGTGTGGGCTGAAGGGAACACCCTCTAAACTAAGTCACAGAAATCTTCTATCTGCTTCACCAGCCCTGTGTCATGGAGCGAGGTGCAGTACACAGTTGGGGCTGTTGTCCAAGCAGGGGGGACAGGCCATCATTGGTAGCATCCACACTGAAGTTGGTGGGATGGATTGGACCACTCACTCCCTGCTCTTCTAGAACCTGTCCAGTGGCTGTTTTGCTTGGTCGCTGCAGTCATTTGTGTGGTGCAATGTGGGTGTTTGCTTTGATCCACACAGAACAAAGGCTCAAGACCTAGAAGACCTCATTGTTCTGTCTTTCCCAGAGCCTTCTTGAGAAGGGTGAGTATCTACGCCAGTTTGTTTGGTTGGACCAAGAAGGAGCTGAAGGCAAGGAAGATTCAAATCTTGCTGCCCTAATTCATCCCTACCTCCACCTCACAAGGCACCAAGACCCAGACTCCAGCTGCTGAGCAGTTCGGGGAGGGTGGCTGGGGAGAAATGGGGAAGGTCCTGGCCTGTTTTGGTCTGTGTTTGCTGGCTGTGTTTGTGTGGCTGGTCATGGAGAAGGAGCCAGGCTGCTGTCCTGGTCACGTGATACCATTGCCCACTCTTTCACCTGATGGCAGAGGTGCGCAGCACGTGGGAGCAACACCGTTTCATGTGCATTGACTTAACCCAAACAAATAAATGTCTCTTGGAAGCTTGGTTTGTAGATTTTTTCCGCACCTGGGACCTTTGCAGAGAGATGTCTCAGACTGTGTCACAGCAGAGTGGTTGAAGTGGAGCAGAAACGAGATCCTAAAAAGTCAGCAGTTTCACCATCCTTCAATGCTTAGACCACTGAAGTCTTTTGGTATCTTTATTCACTGATGACAGCCTTCTCTCCTCACCAAGCCTCAATGGTACGGTTTGTAGAGGGCTTGTGGAACATCAAATGTCTTCTATATGTGGCATTTTGTTTGCTTAATGGAGAACTGAGGGGGTTCTGGCTGCACCATCTCTTCTCTTGGCCCCTTGACTCTCCTCCTCCTGTATTCCACCCCCCAGCTGCTCTCAGGAGGACAACAGGACTGGCAAGCCTGCAGACTGAAGGGTCTTATCGTTTTTGGTGTCTCCTGTCCTTGGGATGGGTGATTAAAGAACATGAGAAACATCTCATGGTGGACATGCTGGAGAAGACAAGGAGGTGGGAGATGGGCTGAGTAGGAGCAGAAAGGCAGCACAGAGTCTGTGCTTCACTAGGTCTTGTTAGCTGTGCAGGACCAGGGAAGCCTGCAGCCACGCACAGATGTGCTGTGATTCATGACAGCGGGCACTGAGAGGGGACCACAAGCTCTGGCACCCGCAGCCTCTCTTGGCTCGTGTGGCTGCAAACTGCACATTCCAGACCAATGCTCTGATTCAGGTTTAATGACTTCCATGTCTTTGTCATCTGGCACCCAATGGTGCTTGGCATGCCAAGTAAGTGCCAATCGTGAGGTTAACAAGGCAGTGAAGTCTTCTGAAGTCACTGCTGAAGACTGTGGTCAATGCAAGCCCAGGATTGTCCCTGTGCCTCCCTGCAGAGCGCCTGAGAGGAGAGGTCTCCAGGTGAGAACGTCCTGAGGGTCTGGAGCTCCATACAGCCGTGCTCTGTGTCAGAGCAGGTCCCGGTCACTCGGGCTGCACGGTGGCCTCTCCACGTCTGGCTGCTCCGGGCCACAAGGCCA